TAAGTATATATAAGGAAAAATTTTTTGTTGTATTCAAATTTAGTGTACAGTTGTATTTAATTTAAAAATGTTTAGGTAAAAAGTAAAGTACATATGTATGTATGTTCATACCATCAGATCCCACGAAGTCACCTTCCTGCGTACCGTTGCTCGTATTGCTTGCTATGTAGTTATGTTGCCATGTAATGATGTGCTGTCCTAGTTGTAGCTGTTGGTTTTTGCTTTACGCTGCTATCGCACCCTGCTCAGCGATATGTATATATGTTGTTGTTGCTGTTTACCGCTGCGTGTCGCGCCTTGGCATAGCGACACTTGTAGATGGCGTGGTTTTAACGCCGTTATAGCGGTTTGCACTGGTCTAGCGGTTTGCGTTGGTGGTACAGCACGGACAGCGTGGCGTAGTTGCGATGCCGTTAAGGCCTGGCGTGTATGCGATGCCGTTATGTCGTGCTTGGGACTGGTGGTACAGCACAGTCGCAGTCTTATAGTTTTGTTTTTGGTTTTATTGTTCTTTTGCCACTCATGTGTTTCCTACCACTTTTGTAAAGTTTAGTTTTTTTTTAAATTTGGTACGACCGCTTTTTTTTGGTTTTTGAATGTTTTATATTTTTTTTTTTGGTTTTGTGTTTTTTTTTTATAATTTTACCTAATTATAAACGCCACATTTTTTTTTTTTTTTTTTTTTACACATCTATATGCACATTTATGTATGTATGCGCACTGCAAGTTTTTAGTTAGTTTAATATAAGTTCATTTTCGTTGTTTTTTTCACATCTGTATGCACGTGTATGTATGTTTTCTTATTTTTTGTATTTTAACCTTTTTTTTGGGATTTTTGTAGTTTTTTAGATTTTTTTTTGTGTTTTTGTAATAATTTTCAAAGTTTTTGATTTAGTTAACCGCCACCGTATAGTTGTTGGTAATGATTTTTGGTCTCGAAATTAAGTTCAGTTCATTTCACGCTTTTTTTTTGTATTTTAATTTTTCCCATGTTTCAACTTTTAGTTATGTGTAGGTGGCCGCCGTTTAATGGGACGGACCCACGGTCGCCATGACGAGGTTGTAATTAATTTGTTTGTTCCCCTGCACTCACTCGGTAAAGATGTGCAGCCCTAGCGCTCCTCCGGCTCTGTTGCCGGCCAACGCTGGTAACCAGCAATTACCCAAATATAAAATTAAAACAAGACTTGACTGTTCGATTTGAGGGTACGCGGAATAATGCCGCTAATTTTATTTTCACTAAAAGACTTAAATTTAGCTGCCTTCGCCGATACAACAGGGTTGCATCAATATCGTAAATTTATATTTGTAATCTATTACCTTAGGCGAATTCATATAAGATGATTTGTAGGGTTGCAACATGTATGCTTGATCGCATTACAGAACTTATACCGAAAGACGAAAAGAAAAATGATCGGTTCAAAAATCTTGACCGTCGATGTGTGGTGTTACTTGATTAAAAAATTCAATTAACTTGCTTTTCAGAATTGGCGAACTGAAATGAACGAGAATGGTTATGACTGCTGATCAATGGTGTTCGCATCGCAGATCGATCACCATTCACCCCCGCGGAATTAAATAATCAAAATATCCACAAAAATTTTGATTGAAAACGAACTCCAATAAAAATCAATTAAATCATGCCTTGTGAAGACTGATGACGATATTAATTTACAGTGATTATGAATTCAAAAGATAATTATTTGATTCAATCTCAATGATGATTTATAATAGCGGAATTTCTAAAAGAAAAATTTATCAAAAAAAACTCGAATATGTATGGTTCACCGACGTACAATTTTGTGACCAACAAAATGAGAAAAACTACTAAAAGATTGTAATTTATCCTTAAATCTAATTTTATGATGTATTAAATTGATTCGATGATGAAATTGCTATTTTCCCTCAGCTGAGCACGCAGTTATTTTATGCCGGGCTTAAGTGTGGTTATGTTCAACAAAAACTTATACTTTTTTTTTGTGCTCGGCCGATATCGGCTATATGCGGGCGATATGAATAAACACTTGCGATTATATGAGATTATATGAGCGCTCTCACACATAAACCGATAATCGAACCGACATCGGCCGTTGACGTCCGTCAGTGACGATAAATTCAAACATGTTTGTTTTTCTCGTCCGATGTCAGATGAAAAGTACCAATATGGACTGCGAAAAATTAACTTATTGGGTGCAAAAATAAAAAAATTACATATAAAATCACATTATTAGAGTATGTCAATTAAAATTTATCAAAATATTTTACTGCTCACAAAATTTTAAAGAAAACTTGATTTGTGTGTACAAATACGGTCGGCAAATAATCTGGTTAAGTGTGCGCATCATTTCGGACGGTCAAATTGTTCCGCCGAAATCGGTCGGCCTATCGGATGCAATGTGCGCCTAGCGTAATGATTTTGTATTACCGGCGTATGGTGACTCAATTGCTGTCAAATGAATAGTCCAGATTTGATGCTCACAACTTCTTTATTCTACGCAACAACATGGCTGGGGATTTGCCGGAAGGAATGTGACGGCACCTTTTGCCTCTATTAACTCGATACAAGAAAAAAGGATTTTTACAGTCAGCCTTTTTCCTTATATTTGCATGGACGCAGTCGATTTCACTTTCCACTTTCCACTCAGGGGTGAGTATCGACTCCCCGAATGTCGCCAGCTTTTAATACAAGCTTTTAATACACTTTAATTACTTGGTTGTAATTCCGTTCTTGCGAGGGCTGATGAGTGTGGTTCGCTCCGTGTCCAATTCGGAAAAAGGAAATATATTTTTCTAGCCTCGTGGTATGTGACCACCGATTCTTTTATCGTATGTCAGTGTGGGCGTTTTCATAGTGGCCATGTCAATTCGTGTCTATACTGATATAATGGTTCGTGTCTTGAATAACTATTGGTTACGTACATTCATCTGACAATCCCCCCCC